TAAGATTTTATTTATTTATTTGACAGAGAGATAGCACAAGTAAGCAGAGAGACAGACAGAGGGAGAAGGAGAAGCAGGCTCCCTGCAGAGCAGGGAGCCCGACGTGGGGCTCGATCCCAGGACCCTGGGATCATGACCTGAGCCGAAGGCAGACGCTTAATGACTGAGCCACCCAGGCACCCCAGTGCCATGGCAGTTTTAAATGCAAATAGCAGATTTAGTGCATGTGTAAAATCATTGACCTATAATTTGTATTTTGTGGCTCATCTGGGAGGGTGCCTCAAGCTGAGCATAAGGGACACACACAGATCCCTGTGACTGGTGTCTGGGGACCCCTGGCTGGGTGCTTGCCCCGTTTGTTGTCCCTCCAGCCTCCTGTCGTCCCTCCTGCTTAATGTCAGGTTGGAGCAGCCCAGCCAGGCATGTTCCCCTCAGGCCCGCTGCCCCAACGTACGGCAGACAGGTCATTCCTAAGCATCCTTACACCTCCAAGCTGGGATTTTCTTTGTACCTGGATAAGGGTTACTGTATCGCCCCTATCAAGGCCTCCAGGGGGTCGCCCACCAGCCATGCTGTGGAGCTGCCAGCCCAGGAGGGGAGAAAGGTACTGGGGGGGCAGTTTCCGTCATGCCCCGCCCTGCGATGCCTCAGGCCACAGGTCCCCACCTCTCCCTTGCCCACGTGCAGGCCTTCTGGGAGCAGAATGTGGCAGTGGGCATGAGGGCACAGGCAGGGAGGGGAAGCTGGAGGGGGCCTGGTGCCCTAGGGAGTGGGGGAGCTGGGAGCGGGAGGCAGGCCCTCGCACGATCTGAGGCTCTAAACCCCTATAGGTGCCATTGTCCCATCAGACTTGACTTTAAAAAAACATACATCCAAAGATACAATTATTCAAACTTTCCAGATTGCAAGCACAGAGCTTTAAACCCCGGGTCCCGGGCCCTTCTGAGGGGCCTGTGTCTGCACCGGTCTCACACTCATGAAATCGGCCCTTTCTTTAGGAAACTCCCTTCCTACCTTAGGAAAACAATTTTCTTTTCATTTTTAAGTCTGTGATGAGTTCTCCCCACTGCAGACTCCACCTTCACTTTCATTCCTTCTTCCTTCAATCAACAATTATTGGGGACCATCGGTAAGCCAGGCATGGGTTTCAGGTGCTGAAGATACAGTAATGGAGAAATCCTGAAATCCTTGCCCTGCTGGAGATTCCATTCAAATGGGGCCAGAGAGTAAACAAGCACATACTGGGTGTGCTAGCGCTAAGGAGCAGAATGACGCAGAAAAGGGGCGCAGAGAGACCCGGGGTGTGATTTTAGAAGAGGTAGTCATTAGTGTGTAGGATGAGGAGGAGGCTGACTGTAGGTTAGGGTTTAGGTGGGGCTGGGGGAGAAAAGGGCGAGTTTTGAGTGACGCAGGGGGGAGAGGGCAAGAACACGCCAGGAGGGAGGGGCAGCTGAGCACAACTGGGAATCGCAATAGGACAGAACTTGAAAATGGGCACTTGGAAATTAAGCACAGACATTTTAACCTGCTGGTGCATCCCCTGTCCCACTCTAAAGCTAATAAAACCTTGCCTCCTGCTCACCTCTAAAGCTGGGAGCGTCTGGGAGTATTTGGGCAATGACAGCCGATTAGAAGGGGCTCTCTGCTGGCGGGAAGGGGAGAGTCCTCCCGGGTGTTTCTCTGGCAACTCTAAGACCCTTCTAAGATGCTGTGCTGGACACCAGTCACACACTCACCATTACAGACGTTACGTATTCCAACAATGAGCTCTATCGAGCACAGTCTGCTTTGGAAAAAAGGGTCCTTGGATTTGAGGGACATTCAGTCGCTGTTGTGAGGCAGCAGGCCACAAGGTGGCGCCACGGTCCCGTTGGACCAGTCGTCCCGCACTGTCCCGCAGCCTTCGCAGTTGGTCGTTATTGAGAGATTACTTGGCAGGCTTCGGTTAAATGTCTTATTCCTATTATTTCACCCGATCCTCACAACCCACCCCCCACCCCACCCCCGAGAAATAGGCATCATCAGCGTCACATTCGCACGGGGAAGCTGAAGCTCAGAGATCTCAGCGGGGAAGAGGCACAGCTGGTTTCTGAACTGTTTTTGACTCCAAAGCTCATGTTCTTGATTATAACCCTCCACTGCCTGCCTGCACAAGACAGCAAAAGGTCAGTTTTGTCCCCAAACCATCTAGTTTCCCATAATGATGGTAACCGTCCCTGGGCTTTACCCACAACATTTGCATGACGAAGGAAGGGGGTGGGAATGGAACTGGCATGGTTAGGGTCCGGTGGCCTTCCAGATCTGTGTGCTGGACAGACAGCTTAGTGTTGGGGGACAGAGGCTGAGAGGTGGCTTTCAGGTGACCCCAGTAGGACCCCAGGCCGAATGGCTTTAGACTAGTTGCCTTACCCCCTTTCCCCAGCATCTTCCATTCCTCCTCCTGGCGCCCCATTTCCTGGAAAGCCCAGCCTAGATGCCCAGCGTCCTCTGCTGCACTCCGGCCCGCCCTCCCCTGAGGTATCTTATGTTTCCAGGTGACCTTCCTCCTTCCAGGACAAAGTCCATTCCTCTAGGCCGCCTGGATCCCTCAAAGACTGGAGGGAAGTCTGCCCCCTACAATGAACTGAGGATGAATGTAAAAGGTGACACAAGGCAGCCGTTTAAAAAAGAATGAGGAGACTTTCTGTGTCCCATCAAGAGAGAGGATGCTTGTTCATCGTGACTGGGTGGCTGGGAAAATAGGGATCCATCTTGGATGGATGGCTTTCACAGCGAGGAGGATGAGGAGAGCAGCCCTCCCAGGTGGACGCGCATGCGGATGGCTAGCTGATGGAGTCTGGGGGTGTGAGGCCGGCCTTCCCCAGCACCCTGGCTCACTCTGCCCCCTCCCCCAAAAGGCTGGGACCAGTAGGGCACCCTTGCTTACTTCACCGAGGCTCCTCTCCTACATTTCTGAGGCCACAACTGCGGCAACTCTGTAAAAAATTCTCACAGTACGGAAGTATATATAGTAAAAATTAAGCAGTAAAAGTTCTGTCACCCATAACTCTACTTTCTCTCTTTCTTTCCAGAAGTAGCTGTTAATAGTTTGGTGTTTGAGGTTTCTTTCAAGACCTCTTTCAAGCCCTTTCAAGACCTTTTGTGTGTGTGTGTGTACAGGGGCTATTGGGGTGGGATATCTCTGCGTATGGGGGTCTGTGGGGTGTGTGTGTGTGCGTGTATGCATATGACTATGTGTATTTAAAACACACAAATTGGATCTTAATACATACACTGCTTTTTCATTTGCTTTTTTCAATTAAAAATATTTTTTTTCTTGTTGGTACATATAAATTCCTTCATTCTTAAATAGCTGCCTTGTGTCATCTTCTGCATTCATCCTAAATTCATTCTAGGAGGGCAGGCTCACTTTGAGTCTTTGAGGGTACCAGCTTGCCTGGAGCCCCCAACAATATGGGGAACACACAGCATCTGCCTTAAGATCGTAGGGCCTTGGGGGCGAGGCAGGCACACAGCACTGAAACAGTCACACACTCCCACAAAGCAGTTTGCCTCCTCCATCCACAGAATCACTGGCCCCAGCTCTGCCCTCAAGAAGCTTCATGGTCAGTTAACTGGGGGAAATAGTGGACATAGCATCAACAAGCCTACACACTAGCATCTGGCTGCTGGGCAAATCCCCATGATGCCTGGTGGAGAGTTCTAGGTCCCAGGACAGATCAATATGAATCTCTCCTCTGCTCCCTCTCAGCACAGTGTTGGCCCACCTGCCCCGAGAGCCACGTCCACGTGCTTCCTACAGGTGCGCAACTCTGAACACCAAGAGCCGAGACACCG